GTAACTGGTTCACATGTTTTTTGCCATACGCAGTACAATTCCGCCACGGAAAGGTTTATGGCAGTAGGCTCAAAAAGTCTATGACGAGATTGTTAAACGCAAGGAATCCTCCAAGATTCTACATGAAAACCCACACAGCAGAGCGTTTACAAATCACACCAATAAGCACTTCGGAGCAATGTCCTCGTCTTCAAAGTAAAAGCTACGGATACCAAAGAAAAGCCCTCTAATATAAAAAAAAAAAAACATTACGCAAAAGCGGGGCATATTTCCTGGTACCTTTAAAAATAAACAAGGATTTAAATCTATATTACATATATATATGTGTATGTGTATTGATTTGTTTGTATATATTTAGATATTTTAACGGATATCAAGTTAGTTTGTAGTTCCATGCGATTATGAAACATCTACTTGCAAAGTTTCGACTGCCAGAGTGTAAAAGTATTTCATAATAGTACTTATGGGCTAAGTTTATGCATGTTTTTCCAAATTACTTGAATTTTAAAAATGTAATCCGATTTCTTTATTTTTCTACACTTATATTGATATTTTAAGCATTGCTGTATGCGTGTGCCGCTATAAGAGGTTATATACAAGCAAGTCCGAACACTCTTAATCTTTAGTTCTTCATTATGGTAAATTATAAAAGGTTAATGCGTCAAAATATATAACTGATAAGAACATAACCCAAAAGCAATTTTACCAAAATGGATACATTATGACATTCGTTAAAAACATTCACAAAGTAATAAAACATTTCAATCCCTAGTTTTAATCCAATTACCTTCAATATTTCTTTGTTTCTTAACGCAAAGCAACATAATGGACTATTTGCGCTCTTTCCATCGCACGGAATCGAACCCTGTATTTTAGCGCTCTAAATATGATAACCTTTTCCACCCTTCCCTGTAATTATTGTATTTGATTTCACAAGTTAAGGTAAACTAGCCTGTTTGCTTGTTACACAAAATAAATATAATTTACAGACATTGTACCGCAGGCAGTGCTGGTAACTTTGTAGTTACAAAAATGTTTAAATCCAGAAAGCCAAAGCACGGTAATCTCCCCCCCCCCTCTCTCTCTTCCAGTCGCGTCTATGGCGTAGGATTTCCAAGCAATCCTAACTGAAAACACCTTACAACTATGTAATAATGCATCAAATTTGAATTGATCCAAAATTTATTATCATAATTATTATCAAGATGCAACGTTGGGGGAGGGGGTAACACATTTTCCATATTACGTTAAACAGTATCATTAGCTGACTAACGGTTAGAACTGAATTGTTGGCATTTGATAAATAAATTTATGTAAGAAATTCCTAACACAAATACCTCTTGTTTCGTTTGTCGGTGGATTTAGTGCAACTATCTCTTCATTTGCTAAAAATGGAAAGTCCAACCAATCATATCTAAACATAAATTTTAATGCACGTTCATATACACAAAAAATTTAGGTCATACATAGTATGAAACTATTCCAAACTTTGTCCGTTCTATTGAGAGGTGGTGCATTTATGAGGCGTTCTGTTGCCAGTATACTCGTGTATTACTAATTACTGTTGTAAGAAATTTGAGAAGTTGTGAAAAGTATAAAGTAAAAAGCATATCGAATGGAAAACCAATGCGGAAAGTATGCTCCCTGGTGAGAAGACTTGTCTCTAAAGTAGCTTCCACGAATAATGAATCCTGCTGGGTTTAAGGGCATCCTCAAAATAATGCGAAGTTTTATAAATTCCATGATAATAAATGTAAAGATACTTTTGTACGTTCATTCCAGTCTGATCCATTACAACTGAATCGACGAGTTTCGAAGATGCTGCTCTTCTCAATGTTCCAAACCTTGAAATATATATATATATTGAATTTAATTATTCCTATAAGGTTTTAATCCTTAAAGTCTCTCAAAGTTGTGTTGTTGTTGTTGTTGTTGTTGTAAAAATTAAACAGTGTAGTCTGCCTTATTTAACATAATTTAAAATATGTAACTTTTCGAATAACTTGATATTTCATGCTTTCCCATTTTGGTGTTTAAGACTTTTAAAAAATCTTTGTGGATTTTTTTAACTTTAAGTGTTTTACTTTATTTACAGATTTCACATAAATATCTTCCATTGTATCACGGTGTTACGGGTTTCACTCGACTACATAGACGGCTTCTCTTGTATCACGGTGTTACAGGTTTCACTCGACTACATAGACGGCTTCTCTTGTATCACGGTGTTACGGGTTTTACTCGACTACATAGACGGCTTCTCATGCATCACGGTGTTACGGGTTTCACTCGACTACATAGACGGCTTCTCTTGTATCACGGTGTTACGGGTTTCACTCGACTACATAGACGGCTTCTCTTGTATCACGGTGTTACGGGTTTCACTCGACTAAACAGACGCCTTCTCATGCATCACGGTGTTACGGGTTTCACATGACTACATAGGCGCTTTCTCTTGTATCACGGTGTTACGGGTTTCACTTGACTACATAGACGCCTGCTCATGCATCACGGTGTTACTGGTTTCATTTGTCTACAATAATACTTTATTTTCTAGCCTAGTATTATAAGTTTTACTTGACAATAAAAAAGGATACGAAAGAAAGACGAAAGAAAGTGTTTTTATTGTCAAGTAAAACCTGAAACACTGTGATACACGTCTATATCGTTAAGTAAAACCTCTAACATCATCCTGATGTTAGAGGTTTTATTTGACTACATATATTATTTTTCTACTATCCTAATTTTAGACACCTTACTTAGCTACACGAGTAGTTTCATTTGAACCATATAGTTACCCACTACTGAGCCGTAAGTGACCTAATAATTAGCGTAACGGGCTGGATGTCGAAAGGTCCAAGGTTTGAACCCACGGTATGACGTTTAACCCCTTCAGCCTATCAGCTATATGCGAGTTATAAAAGTGACAGTCAATCCTATTATTCGTTTAGAAGTAGTTGTGTAGGCGACGGGTGCTGCTTTCACTCTGGTCACCAGTTCTAAATTAAGGGCGGGTACTGCTTGACCTTTAAGGTTATTGACCTGACTGTTGAGGCCATATTTTGAATAATGTATCATTCATTTTAGGAATACTAATACCACAGTTTCATAAGAGCTTTCTCTCTTGTTCTTGCAATACAGGATTTTACTTTATCACACGAACATGTTCTATTGAAACCTGGAGTTAGACATGCTACTGGACTCTTAACTCCTGTACTGAGTATTAATATATGTATGTATATATTTGGAATGAACTCCTGTACTGAGTACTAATATATATATATATATATCTTTGGACTCTTGGCTCCTGCGATGAGTATCCTAAGATAATTATAAAGATAAAGATAATTAGAAAATTATAGTTAGCATATATATATATTTATTTATTTAATTGCCTATAATTCGTAACATGCTGATTTATTATGTAATGTGCCTTTAGGTTTAACTATTTTGTAGCAATGATATGTCTTACTCTTTAATTAGCTTTCGACATCATTGATTTGTTCCTATATAAAGTTTTGTGAGTTATCAACCCGAATATCATTGAGCTAGATTTGAGGGTAGGTTGTGAGACCTAAAATTCTGCCCCTGGTTGATACTTCCTTTTCATACCTCACTCTTTAAGTCTCACCAGGTGGTGGTTGAATCGATAGCTAAATGTGCTCTGAATTAAAACTATAGTATAAACTCTGTTTATTTTATTTTAGTTGCTTGTTTTAGAAGTTCATCGTTCAGTTTGACTAAAAGAAAGCAAGAATCTTCCCAATAACCAGCACAATTTTACAAACTTTACGGTCAAAAAACCCTCTTTATGTTTATCGAACCTGAACTTAAAGTAACTGTTTAAAAGAAGGGCGAAGACTCACATATATATAAAACCAAGTGGGAGGAGAAACCCATAAGAACGACATCCTTCAAGATTTACTCCTTGTCAGACAGAGACCACACACCGCGTTAGATAACCACTACCTACAACAACGAGAAATATTGATCAACTTATTGCAAAAGCGTATTCATATGTACTGCCTTAAATTGACGGTACGTGTTTGGTTCATTCGTCGTTTGATGGCGCTGCGATATAGAAATCAGTATGGATTTCATGTCCAGACACTGAGTTGGCTCTTGGGTTTGGGGAGTGTCAGTGGCAAATAGCGATATGCATTTGTTCGACAACCGCCTGTTGCTGCAGCATTTCACTGGTTATTTTTCGTGTATTTGACAGTTTGTTTCTTGCCATGAGCACGGCCCATGTGTATTACTTATATTTTAAATGCCTATAAATTATTTACAGTTAAAAATCGTATTACCTGATAGCTCTAGACGTTTAAAAAATTCATTTCCATACTCTTTATTACGAGCGAGTAGTTCTGTCTCTTCCCAAATTCGCAAAGCAAAGGGCCCCCCTGATAACCGTGATTTAAAGGGAAGTATAAGGTTTGTTTGAAATCTAGTGGGTGTTGGAAGTGCTTAGGTTATTACATTGGAGTAATGCCGAGGTCTATTTTAAACCTAATAGGTGTTGGAAGTGCTTAGGTTATTCTGCGTTGAAGTAATGCCAAGGTCTGTTTCAAACGTAGTAGGTGTTGGAAGTGTTTAGGTTATTACATTGGAGTAGTGCCATACTCCGTTCCCAAGAATCTCACTCTGTATAAACCGTTTAACTTGCATATGTCAATGTGTTTGTAACCGCCGTTAATTTTCCTTGTCCCTTTGCACCACCCTCGAATCATAAGTAAATTTCCTTAATGTTGGAAAATCTAAACATATTTAATTAAAAAAAAAAAGCATTTCTGACATGCCTTTAAAAGTGATAATAGTCAGCCTTCTTGCGCACTTGGATATATTCTCTTTGTATTACTTACCGCAAAACTGATTTCATTAATGGATTTTAGTACTATTACAGCAGAACAGAACAAAGTAGAGATTGGGAAGAGTCTTAAACAAACGCTAATGGCTTCTTTCACTAAACATTTGAGTACTCACGTTTATTTCCATATGGACAGGACCGGATCACAACGCAAAACAGGAACTAGTTCGGGCTTTTCCCAAGAAGCGCCACCTATAGGTAGCAACGGGAACCCACGAAGGAAGGAAAATAATTCTCAACTCCTAGCAGGTCGGCTTAACCACTTCCAGAGGGATTACTATACAGGTGATAGGGGATTTTCGGAAATAAGTCGATTTTCAGATCTTCAGGGATCCAGGATGGGTCGGGAGCACTCTCGTCCAGACTATGATGACTTTGATATTTTCTGCCACAGTCCGACAATGATGTCTCCAGAACTTTCTGCTAGGGATAAGAATAAGAGAAAAATGTGGAGAAGATCAAAAGATAAATTTGAACTAAAGACTGGAGATACTTTTCAGTCTTTGAGTCATCTCAGTTCATATCGATATTCTGAAACAACGTTAGATCAAGGTATTAAAAGAGCCCAGCAGTCATCACTGGGTCAAGAACAGAGAAAGCACAAAGATGAGACGAGGAGGCCGCCACGTCGCTCACTCTCTACAGCCGCTGTGGACGAACATCAAGGAGGTTCAGCAGTTCAAGATATTCGAGACTGTTTTATTATTCCCACTCATCTTATGAGCCGCTTTATGCCATTTTACTGTGTAAGAAATTTCTTATATTTTATCTCTTTCATGTTGTATTGAATATTATGTAAGATGATAATAATTAAGAGCGCACATGAACTATGTGAAAATTGCTCTATACGCCAAATTTATATTGAAAATATTATTTTGTTTGCCCGGATCGTTCAGTTATGTAATTTTATTAATTCTTAAAATTCTTGTTCAGCTTGTGAATTAGACTTTGAGATAATGAAAGTTTTATTTTTCACTTGCGTTACCTCTTCTCCCTTTTTCTAATTTTTAACCGTAGAGTTTTTATGACTATCTTTTTCCTTATTTTTTCATTACCGTAGAGTTTTTATGACTATGTTTTTCCTTATTTTTTCATTACCGTATAGTTTTTATGACTATCCTTTTCCTTATTTTTTCATTACCGTAGAGTTTTTATGACTATCCTTTTCCTTATTTTTTCATTACCGTATAGTTTTTATGACTATCCTTTTCCTTATTTTTTCATTACCGTATAGTTTTTATGACTATCTTTTTCCTTATTTTTTCATTACAGTAGAATTTTTATGACTATCTTTTTCCTTATTTTTTCATTACCGTATAGTTTTTATGACTATCTTTTTCCTTATTTTTTCATTACAGTAGAATTTTTATGACTATCTTTTCCTTATTTTTTCATTACCGTATAGTTTTTATGACTATCTTTTTCCTTATTTTTCATTACCAGTAGAGTTTTTATGACTATTCCTTTTCCTTATTTTTTTCATTACCGTAGAGTTTTTATGACTACTTTTTTCTTAAATTTTAGTTTGTTTGTAATTAATCACAAAGCTACACAATGGGCTATCTGTGCTCTGCCCACCACGAGTATCGAGCTTAATTTTTGGTATCCTTGTGTACTTGTATGTCATCTTCTAAACATTTCTCTCTTTTTCTCGGCACTTGCATCCTACTACTTTAATGTTTTAATTTTTTTCTGTTTATCACTTTTTCTTTTCTTTTACATACATTCCTTCATTGATCTTAGTCTCTCATTTCGCTTGTTTATTTAATTATCTTAATTCTTAACGTCTTCCGCAGCCTATACATTACATTTTAAGATAATGTACTTTATGTCTTTCATCTGCGCATCCTTTTTCTCTCTCTCTTTCTTTTGACCTGTTATAGTCTAGTGGTTCGGTGCTCGACTCGCAATTTCCGAATTACGGGATCGAAACGTGGCACCGAACATGCTCGCCTTGTGAACAGGCATTGTAATGTGACGGTCAGTCCACTATTCGTTAGAAAAAGAGCAGCCCAAGAATTGGCGGTGGGTGCCCTTTGATCGACGGTTTGATTCCCCAGTTTAAAATTAAGAACAGAGACTGAAAACCTTAGTAGCTTTGCCACAAACAAAAACAACTGTATCACTATTTCTTGTGTGAGATAGCGAATTGTACTTTTATTTTATTATAGTTTCGTTCACTGTTAGTTTATTATTTCTTGCATCGTTTAGTTCAACTATGACTTCTTAGTTATATTAAAGCGCTAACTCACCTTCTAGCTAAAGCACGTTGAATTTGAGTATATTTGTATTATGAAACTGACACAAGCTTTCCCTAGCGGTGACGTACAAATATTAATGTTGAGAAAGATTACATAAATTGACTAGTCTCATGAGATCTAACCTCTTTGTCTAACCACTAAATAAAAACCTTTCATTGATTTTAAACGAGTTAATTCACGAGATTTAGTTAGAACGAATTATTACTGATGGTTGCTCGTTATTGTTAATGATCTTGAAGCGGTTTAGTTTTGGAGTATTTGTGTTTTTTTCGGAATTCGGTTTTTCTTCTCCTGGTTCTTTTTCCTAATTCCTTTTGGAAATTAATAACATTAATATTAATGTTGTATTGTTTATTAACGTTTGTATCACGTCCTGGCCAGGCACAGGTTTACTAACTGTTTTTTTTTTTTCATATATAAAAGTATAAGTGATAAAACTTGTATTCCAATTATTTGCGCCCGGCATGGCTAGGTAGTTAGGGCGCTCGACTCGCAATCTGGGGGTCGCGGGTTCGAATCCCCGTCACATCAAACATGCTCGACCTTTCAGCCGTGGGGGCGTTATAATGTGACGGTCAATCCCACTATTCGTTGGTAAAAGAGTAGCCCAAGAGTTGGCGGTGGGTGGTGATGACTAGCTGTCTTCCCTCTAGTCTTACACTGCTAAATTAGGGACGGCTAGTGCAGAAGCCCTCGTGTAGCTTTGCGCGAAATTCAAACACAAACAAACCAATTGTTTGAAAGTTTTATTTTGGATTTCTGTTGTCGTTCCAGTTTAATAAATTGTTTTTTGTTCAACACTGGTTTTAGCGGCGTTATGTTTTAGTCCGTTATACTTTTATTTTTCATCACGATCGTTTTTCTTAATTTCTGTTGTTCTTTCCTGGTGTTTGTTCTTCTAAGCATTTCCTTCACATTTGTGTCCTAACTACTTGTAGTGTTTTCTTTTTTTTCACTTGCTTTTATTTCATTTTTTCTACACTTCTTGATTATTTTTCGTCTCCTCTTTTGCTTGTCAATTTGTTGTAACTCTTGTCATTTTATTATTATTTTTGTTGTTGTTATTGTTCTTCGTTTCCATCTCTTTCTTATTGTTTTATAGGCCTTTTATCAAATTTAGATTTACAAACATCTTAGAAGATTTATTTAAGTGCCTCATAAATCATTACTTCATTTAAAAGCGGACAAGCTACGGATATCCTCAAGAACTCTCCTGAGGAGACTGTCCAAAGTATCAAAAGTGAGGTCCAATGACAAGTAAATAGTCTAAGTTCGTAAAAATACAAATGTGCATTTTATTTTTTTTAAAGTTTTACAATAATATCTGAGTCAATCTTTTACAAATATATATATATATATATATATTAGTTCTTGTCTTCATTTTTACTATATGTGAGGATCTTTTGCTTCTTCGTGTAATTCTAACGTTGTTTTCTCTTTCTCATTTATTATTTTTCTGTCTTTCTTTCTTCTGGGTATATCTCATCTGTCACTATCTGTATAATCCAGCCTGACGAGCCCTGGTATTGAACGAAAGGCCTAGTCTTAGTCGTCACTGAATATGGCATAAATAGTGTTGTACATATTATAACATATTCTCCTGTTTAAACAACTCTGTTTAAATATTCTCCTTTACTTTCGCTCATGGATTCTTAGATTTACTTATGATTTAAACTCTCCGCTCTTTTCTATTTTTTCTTTCTTGCTCTAATATATATATATATATATATATATATGTGTGTGTTCTATTTTAGAGCTATATATAATTGATCTGTATATATGTTCAGGGCATCATTTCATATCACTTAACACATGTAGTAACGCCTCTAAACACATTGTCATGGAAGACAAGCTACTGCTTAGGGTCATGCACTGGTGGTTAAAATTTATATTTAAAATTAAAATGTATTCATTATTCTTATCTCTGCAAAAGAACTACAAAACATATGGTGTTTATTTCTTTAAAAATAACAGTTAGGAACTTAATTTGAACCATTTAAAAATAAAATAATGTTTAGGGCAACAAATTCTCCTCGCTTATTACAGCCGGAAACGTACATAATTATTTTTTTTTTTTTACTAGTGCCTTTTATTATTATTTTTAGGAGAGCAACCTCAGCCTTTCTTCTCAAGCTCTGAGTATGATGAAAGTCACTGACCCGAAAATTTGTATTATTTTCGATTTTGGCGAGAACGCTTCATTTGGCTCTCAAGACTTACCATCACCAACGACCACGCTCGAGCTGCCGCCAAAAGATTGGTTGATGGTTCAGCTCTGCCGCCAACGGAAGCAGTTAAGCTGGATAAGAGAATCCTCAACGGCAACAGAAGGCATGCTCCTGATGAACGTCGAACGCCACAGTAAGCTTATGTACCGTTTTTATTATGCATTTCTTAAGTAATGTAGTTATAGAAACGAAATTAGCACAGATAAAAATTTTCTAAATAAGCACACATAAAAGTATTTTTTCTAAATAAGCACGAAAGAGTTTTTCCTAAATGCAAACTTTTGTTTGACTGATTCTTGAGAATATATTAATTTGCGTCATTTAAAAATGATGACTAATGAAACTCATCCTAATGATATACTTCAGTCGAGGACGTTCAACATTTTAACAATATAGGGTGTTATCAAAGTCTCGCTCCACCATGGTTTCCGTCCTTATTATGATATTTCTGTCATGTCTTTGTTTCACTAACGTTGCAGTAATTCGTTGGTATGTCGTTAGCCTTGCAAATAACGTGTGAAAACGATCATGTTGTAATTTATTTGTCTGTTTGAATTTATGCCCAAAG